GGACTCGAAGTTGCTCCCCCATCCTACCTCCTCGAGCGCGCGCTACGGCATGATTCATGACGACCCCCTTTGTGAAACGATCTCAAGACCATTCCGCCAGCCCCGTGCAGGGCAACCCAATGGGGAACTCGGGTGCATGAGCCTAATTGTACCCCCCGACCCTACAGAAGAAGACATGGACAAATTCAGAGCTCAGGTCGCGGGGGGCGAACCCACGTCGGAATTCGATACAGCCGACGCCCGCGGTACCGACGCAATTTCACGCCCCGCGCCGCTGATCCATATCGAGTGTGCCTTGATTTTGGATCGGACTTTGGCTGTGCGGCCCGCCAGACGTGACAAAATCCATGGTGCGTCGCGCGGTAAAGCGCGGCGCGGTAGCGAACGGACATCGGAAAACCGACCGGCCGTGAAGGCATGGGCGAAGCATCAGGGCCCCGAACCACCGCGTGCCTGAGAGCGCCACAACGTGCCTGCGATACCCACAACGTGCCCAAGAGCACCGCAAAGCGCCCCTGACCACCAATCGGCTGGTGAAGCCGGCCCCTGCAAGTGCCGCGGCGGGCCAATGCCGACCTCAACCTTGGGTTATTTTGATGCGCAATTGCCCCGGCTGGCTGGGCGCGAAACCGAATTCAAAATTCCAGGCGAGGGGGGAAATCAAAATAATCGTACCAGGGTGCGCTGCAATGCCCCACGGGGCGGAAAAATGAATTAAAATGTCCGGCTTCAGAAATAATCAAAACAAAAGAGACCAGGAAAAAGATGCCGCCACGAAGGCCGCCAACAAATTCATTGGACAACGATGCCATATGGAGACATGGCCAACATGACATTGAAAACAATCAAGGCAAGAACGGAAAACAATGGAAAGGGCGAGTTTCGAAATCTATGAAGGCCAAACACAACACTGCAACCACGATCTAAAATGAGATTTCGCACAGGCCAGCGGCGAAATCAAAGAAGATTTCCAGTTTGATTTCAGCCCTAGCCCGGGCTGGCCCACTTCATTGATAAAAGCTTCCCGGTATGTTTGCCGCTGCTCTTCTTGCTGCGCACTTCTGAAAACACTGCTGGGTGCTCTTCTGGCGCACTGCGAATCCTTCAGAATGCCAGTCAGCATTGAGTGGCCCTGAGTATACTCGCCACATGTATAGAAAGGGTTGGGTACGTCGCAGGGTAATTAGCTCGGAGGCTCTTCTCCGACCAAGCTGTGCGCCGCGGGGGGGCGGCGGTGGGGGACACCAGCCTGCCATGGAACAATTAGGAGTTCCAGATCTGCATGATGTTCCCCGTGTGAACAATCACCCCTCTCCGACTGCAATGATGGTGCAAACACTTGGTGCTTAACATGTTCCAGCCAGTGCGAACGGCAACACACACAAGACCAATAATACACTTACCGAGGCTACATATCAAGAACGAGACAAACGGGCATTAAAGAAAATGCGCAAAACAACTGAGGAATACCACACCAAGCTGAAACACAAGTATCGTCATGCAAACGAGGACCGAGCAAGTAGCCAGCGCAAGCAAGGATCGCTCAGGAGCCACCCTCGCACCATGCAGTCGGACCCACGCCCGAAGAGCATCCCTCAAGAGCACGAGGCCCTCCGCTGGCCAGAACGCGCAGAACAGCCGAGGGTATACCCTCCCCAGGGTGCACAAGAAAACACCCAGCAAACACGAAGAACGTCAGGGCACCCTCCCCGACCGGACCTCGGTCTTATGCCCAGAACATCGAACATCCACCAAACACGAAGGATATCAGGGCACCCTCCCCGAACCCTCCCTGCCCCCATCACTCGGGTCGGGCGAAAGGGGGGGATAGCAAAGGGTGGGCTTGAGAATCAGCTCACGTAGCTCATTTTCCCGGCGCCTCCCGGCGCCGGGAGGCGCCCATGTACCGAGGAAGGGGCCCCTCGGTGAGGCCGAAACCCGCTGCATGCAGCAGATTTCGTAACCCCCCCTTTCCCAATCCCCCCCTTCCGCCCGGCCCGATCTTATGCCCAGAACATCGAACATCCACCAAACACGAAGGACATCGGGGCACCCTCCCCGAACCCTCCCTGCCCCCCAATAACCTCGGCCCGACCGTATCGGGTCGGGCGAAAGGGGGGGATAGCAAAGGGGGGGTTTGAGAATCGGCTCACGTAGCTCATTTTCCCGGCGCCTCCCGGCGCCGGGAGGCGCCCATGTACCGAGGAAGGGGCCCCTCGGTGAGGCCAAAATCCGCTGCATGCAGCAGATTTCGTAACCCCCCCTTTCCCAATCCCCCCCTTTCGCCCGGCCCGATCTTATGCCCAGAACATCGAACATCCACCAAACACGAAGGACATCGGGGCACCCTCCCCGAACCCTCCCTGCCCCCCTTATCACCTCGGTCTCCGACCCGACACTGGCAAAACGCCGTGCCCCCGCGACCCGGGCGCCCACGGTCCACCCCGGGCGCGAGACCACCGCCACGAGAGCAGCCCCCCGGGCGCGCCGAGAGCCTCCCCGGGGCGAGGCGCCGCCCGTCGAGCAGCACAGGCAAACGCCCGGGGAGGAGACGGACCGCAGGCGGCAGGGAGCAGCACGACGGGAGCGAGAGGACGACGAGACGAGGCCGACAGAGGAGGGGGGGGGGGGCCGTGGGGGAAGAGCCGCCCAGTCCACACAGCAGCACGCGGAGCCCCAGGGCGAGTGTCCAGGGCAGCACGAGGCAAACGGGGAGGTCGAAATGCCGAACCACCTTCCGCGCCCTGCACTGGCATCCGAAAGCTAAGACACGGTGATAGTCGCCTTCCCCCACGTGCCCGGTCACATCTTTGATGATGACGCGCGGCAAAATATTCGGGTGAAAAGGCACTGGCGCGGGCGCAGCATGTCCTGGCCTGCCGCCGAGCAAGAGCAATCTGGGCGGGCGTGGGCCCGTTCCCGATGCTGCGGAGGCTGACGCTGCGTCGACAACCTGAAGCGGCGGCGGACTAGAAGGTTACACATAGCCCTCCGCAACTGCCCGCCTTGTCGGGAGCCAACCTATGCCCACTGCGACCACCGAGGCGAGTGAACGGCGGATGGAACCTCGCTGATTATACGGATGCGAAGAGCGGGTGCCAGCGGAGCGTACTAATCCGCCGATCCCGCGTGTGAGTTTCAAGGAGTCTCAGCTACAGCCTCGAGGCTGAGCCTCAGCCTCTGGGGGGGTTGCCGGGGTGGCTCTGCCGGGGAAAAGGGGGTGGTGGGGGGGGGGTGCGAGTTTCCGGCGGATGCATTTTTTGACACCTCTCACAAGGATCGTGGCCTCCGAGGGGGTTCCGAACTCGAGTACCACCCCTCCCGCACTAAGAGGCTCCGAGGAGGCCTCCAAGAGGCCCCAAGGGGCGCAGAAGAGGCCCCCAAGAAGCCCCAAGAGGCTCCCAAGAGACCCCCAAGAGGCCCTCTAGTGGCCCCAAGAGGCCCAAGAGGCCCCCAAGAAGACCCAAGAGGCGCCCAAGAGGCCCCCAGAAGTCCCAGCCAACCACGAGATCCCAACCAGCATCCATGAGGCCTCTGACCCACCACCCACGCACGGTGGCGGGATAGGCCGACGGCCACTGGATAAATGCTGAGTGAGAGGAGGGGAGGGAAAAAGAGAGGAGGGACGAGGGCGAAGAAGGATCACATCAGTCGGAGCGCCCTGGATCGGCGGCACTGGCCGAAGGCCACTACAATATGATCGATACACATCTCCACGGCGCACAGCGGATCGGACCAAAGCTGGAATCCAAGAGTCAGATCGGCCAATAATCGAGGCCCCTAACTTGGCCAGGCCTCTCTCAGGGGCCACGGGTGAAAACCTATGAAAGGCCTGGTCAAACGTTGGTGCTGTCGTATCGCTGACCCCTTCGGCGAACTTGACGCGACGCCCCACGCTTTCCGAACCCGCCGGCCTTGAATGCGAGGTGATCTCACATTTTTCTGCGCAAAGGCAAGGCGCGGTGCAACAGCAGTAGTCAGGCTGATGGGGCAACGTCGGGCCACCCCTCCGAAGTGCCGCGCAACATCTAAGGCAAAGGAGATCCGCCCACTCCTTTGAGTGACTGGGCCCCTCCCACTGCTTCCTTGTTGCAGACATCCTACTGCAGGTCCGTGCCGTGTCGACCCTGGCGTTGGTTCCTGACACCGCGCTGGATCGTTCAACCTTGAACGATCGGCCGTCTCCGCAACGTCCGATCGTTCAACATCGACCAATTCTGGGCCGCCGTCGGCGTTCAACCTTGAACGTCGGCGGCGGGGTCGCCGCGGGTCGACACGACGCGAACCTACCGTAGCTTGACTAACCCCCCCCCCCCCGCGGCCACCGCCGCCGAGTGATGGCCCCAAAGCCTGTACCAGCAGCACGGCCTTGGCCCGAAGGACTGGCAGTGAGGGGCACCGACAGGGGGGACTGGCGTTTGGCGAGCACCGAGCTGGCATCGGCGATACATCGCCGACAGATCGACGGGAGGCCCCCGATAGCGAATCCACACGTTCCTGGGTGGGGTGGGGCTATCGGGCCCCGATCGGCGATGCAGTTCCTCCCCGAACCCGTTACCTCGAATGAATTGTGCGATCCAGTTTTCGGGTCATAGCCCTGCTTCGTGGCGGACGTTCGCATCCCTAGGGGGCAATAGAGCTTGAGGGGGGGAGGTGGGGGGAAGGCTCTCGAGAGGCCACCAAGTGGCTCCCCAAAGCCCCCTAAACTGCCCCTCCGAGGCCCGCGAGAGCGCTCCCAAGAGAGCCCAAGAAGCATCCATGAAGACTCTGACCCACGTCAGCGTCGTCGTTGTCTTCGCCGCCGCCGCCGTCCTCCCCATTCAGGGTCGGCGACACCGGCCGTAAGGCCTTCGCGATACAGACGCACGGTGACACAACGACTCCGATGGCCACGACCGCCACAACGAAGACCTCCACATGCGTATGGTCTTGTCTTGTTCTTAGAATATGTTCGTATGTTTGACTATTCCGTTCTGATCTTTTTCCGACCATGGCGATCCTTAGGGCCAGCTCTCCTCGCGCGCGCGGCGGGCACTTGCGCGCGGGACGAAGGCCTGCGCCAGAGAAAGGGGACGAAGGAGAGGTCGGCCAGCAGGGCAGCCTTGCGCGGGCGGCACCAGCGCAGCGCCAGGCTGCGCGGCCACGACGGAGGGGGAGAGGAGCGTGATCTGGCCATCGCTCGGACGTCCATTCCCTGTGTGTTTTTAGGTTTCGTGCGTGTTTTTTCGCCAAATGATCAAGGATGCTCCTCGATGGTCCTCGCCGAAGGAAAAATGCACACGTCCGAGCGATGCCAAGGATGAGGAGATGGTCGGGAGAGCGGCTGTGAGTCGTCCGCCTGCGAGGCACGCGGGAGATGAATTCTGACGGCATCAGTGCGACAATTCTCGCCACACCCCACGGTCGGCCCGCGCTTCACCAAGGGAAGAATCAAGCCCGGACGGCCGGCGTGGTCTGCCTTCATGTCGCCCGCGTCGGCCCGAACAACTGCAGGCGCCGCGCGGCATGCACTTTGCAAGCGAAAACAATACAGGCACATCTTGAGGGAACTCACGTCAAAAGGCTGCGGGCGGGGCGGGTCCGTACGCAACGCACGCTTCAGCTGTAGCTACTCTCTAGCAACTATACGCATTGCGCATGGTGCGTGTCCCGCCTTCCGCAATCCCGCGCATACTTACGCACGGCGGGATGCGTGACCGACGCGTTCAAATGAAGAGGCCTAGAAAACTGCATCTGGCGGAATGCGCGCCGTGACGATTATGCTCAGCATTCTCGCGGGAATGGAGACAAATTACATGCGATCCGTGTCCCCGGCCTTTCGCGACCCCGCGCAGGCAGGGCGGGATACCCGGCGGACGCGTTCATGGCATCGCGTATCCACTGGATCGCGCTTCGGTGTCCAGATGATTCTTTCAACTCGCTGTCCCAGAGGTCCTGACCGCTTCCCTGGGGGTAGTTGTTCGTCCCAACTCAATGTTTTATGGCCCTGGGGCCAGAAATAATATAGCCGGAGTGCTGTATCCCCAAACAGGGTTTTTAAACCCACTGCGGTTTCCGAGGTCGATTGCGTGCCCGTCCAGTGCGGGCTGGCATGGCATGTTAAAACATGCTTCCTCCTCCTCCTCCTCATCTTCCTCCTCATCTTCCTCCTCCTCCTCCTCCTCCTCCACCTCCTCTTCATCCCGAACGGCATCTCGGAGCCTAGAGTTGCGAGGATGTCTCCAGCGTAACGGGCTGGACCACCTCGCGCGCGGCATCTCGGACCCCAGAGTTGCGACGACGTCTCGGGCGAAACGTGCTGCGAGGAAGTCTCAGGCGAAACGGGCCGGACCACCTCGAGCGCGGCGTCTCAGAGCTCCGAGTTGCGGGGGGGCCTCCTGGGGCCTCCTGGGACCTCCTGGGGACCTCCTGGGGCTTCCTCCTGGGCCTGCTGTGGCCTCCTGAACTCCACCTGGGGTTTCCTGAACCCTCTTGGGGCTCCCAGGGGGGATATCTAACCCGTGGCCGCTTGGGCCCCTCAAAATGGAGGGGGGGGCACAAGAGCAGGAAAATCAACGAATCGACACCGGATGTGTATTGACTTGACACGTTCTGATAGGGGGCCTCCTGGGTCCTCCTGAGAGCCTCCTGGGAATCTCCTGCGGACCCCTGGGGCCTGTCCTGGGCGTCCTGCCGCCTCCTGAAGCTCTCTGGGGCCTCCTGGGGCTCCCAGGCTCCCAGGGGGGATATGTAACATGTGGTCTTCTGGGCTCCCAGGCTAGACCACCTCTTGCGCGGCATCTGGGAGCTCAGAGTTGCGAGAATGTCTTGTGCGAAACGGGCCGGACCACCTTGCGCACGGCATCTCAAAGCTCAGAGTTGCAAGGATGTCTCAGGCGAGACGGGCCGGACCACCTCGCGCAGGGCATCTCGGAGTTGCGAGGATGTCTCAGGCGAAACGGGCCGGACCACCTCTCGCGCGGCATCTCGGGGCTCAGAGTTTCGAGGATGTCTCAGGCGAAACGGGCCGAACCACCTCGCCAGCGTCATCTCGGAGCCCGGAGTTGCGAGGATGTCTCAAGCGAAACGGGCCGGACCACCTCTCGCACGGCACCTCGGGGCTCAGAAATTCGAGGATGTATCAAGCGAAACGGCCCGGACCACCTCTCGCGCGGCGTCCCGGAGCGCAACTTTTCGAGGACGTCTCAGGCGAAACGGCCAATCCCGGCCAACTCAGAAACGAGAGTTGTGAGGATGTCTCAAGCGAACTGGCCCGGACCATCAGATTCTTGTGAGGATGTCTCTGCTCCCCTTTCCCTCGGCCGGAGTTAGCTTCTATCACAACAGCACCCCGTTCAGCAAGCAGTTTGGGGAAAAAATCGTGACGCTGGATGTCTGGGGAGGGCGGAAGGCAGTGCGCGCATGACGGATGCCGAGGCGGCAGAAACGACGACGGCGGGGACGGGAGGCGGAGGCAGAGGCGCAGCAGCGGGAGGCGGGAGGCGGGAGGAGGGAGGAGGGAAGAGGAGCCAGGCGGGGAGTGGGAAGAGGGAGGCGGTTGGAGCCCCTGTGCTACGAAACGTCTCAGGCAGAACGGGCCAGATCATCTCGCGCGCAACATCTTCGAGCCTCGCATTGCGAAGATGGCTCAATCAAAACGGGCCAGACCACCTCGCGAGCGGCATCTTGGAGCTCAGTATTGGAAGGACGTCTGAAACGAAACGGGCCGGACAAACTCTCGCACACGTTCTGACAAGTCCACGTCGCACTCGCTTCCTCTTAGGTCCTCTCCTGCAACTCCCTTCCTTCTCCCTCCTCCTCCTCCTCCTCCTCCTCCTCCTCCTCCTCCCCCTCCTCCTGCCTGCTCCCTCATGCACATCATCCGCCTCCTCCTTCTCCCTTCCATCTCCTTCTCCTTCTCCTTCTCCTTCTCCTCCTCCTCCTCCTCCACCTCCTCTTCATCCCGAACGGCATCTCGGAGCCTAGAGTTGCGAGGATGTCTCCAGCGTAACGGGCTGGACCACATCGCGCGCGACATCTCGGACCCCAGAGTTGCGACGACGTCTCGGGCGAAACGTGCTGCGAGGAAGTCTCAGGCGAAACGGGCCGGACCACCTCGAGCGCGGCGTCTCAGAGCTCCGAGTTGCGGGGGCCTCCTGGGGCCTCCTGGGACCTCCTGGGGACCTCCTAGGGCTTCCTCCTGGGCCTCCTGTGGCCTCCTGAACTCCACCTGGGGTTTCCTGAACCCTCTTGGGGCTCCCAGGGGGGATATCTAACCCGTGGCCGCTTGGGCCCCTCAAAATGGAGGGGGGGGCACAAGAGCAGGAAAAATCAACGAATCGACACCGGATGTGTATTGACTTGACACGTTCTGATAGGGGGCCTCCTGGGTCCTCCTGAGAGCCTCCTGGGAATCTCTTGGGGACCCCTGGGGCCTGTCCTGGGCGTCCTGCGGCCTCCTGGAGCTCTCTGGGGCCTCCTGGGGCTCCCAGGGGGGATATGTAACATTTGGTCTTCTGGGCCCCCAGGCTGGACCACCTCTTGCGCGGCATCTGGGAGCTCAGAGTTGCGAGAATGTCTTGTGCGAAACAGGCCGCGAGACGGGCCAGACCACCTCGCGCAGGGCATCTCAGAGCTCAGAAGTTCGAGGATGTCTCAGGCGAAACGGGCCGGACCACCTCTCGCGCGGCATCTCCGAGGTCAGAGTTTCGAGGATGTCTCAGGCGAAACGGGCTGGACCACCTCGCGCAAGGCATCTCGGAGCTCGGAGTTGCGAGGATGTCTCAGACGAAACGGGCCGGACTACCTCTTGCACGGCACCTCGGGGCTCAGAAAGTCGAGGATGTATCAAGCGAAACGGCCTGGACCACCTCTCGCGCGGCGTCCCGGAGCGCAACTTTTCGAGGACGTCTCAGGCGAAACGGCCAATCCCGGCCAACTCAGAAACGAGAGTTGTGAGGGTGTCTCAAGCGAAACGGCCCGGACCATCAAATTTTTGTGAGGATGTCTCTGCTTCCCCTTCCTTCGGCCGGAATCAGCTTCTATCACAACAGCACCCGTTCAGCAAGCTGTTAAGAGAAAAAACGCCCCGCGAGAGCCGAAATCAGGGAAACCCGATGCCTCTTCACACAGTTCGATGGTCGGAGATATGGGTTTCTCCAAAGCATCGCTCATGATCCTCACTCGACCAAGGGCACGTAACCCTCCGGAGCCCTCTCGGCCAGGCGCGCGAACGTGAACGGGATGCAGGCGGCCGGGCAGGCGAGCCCGAGCAGCGCGAGCCCGAAGTCGCCGACGTGCGTCGCAGTATACGCACACGAGCAGATAGACACGATTACAAGATCCCAAAAGATCGAGGAGGTAGCGGGAGACACAAATGGGCTGCCGTCTTGCTGCCACAGAGCGTTGGTCCAGAAAGCAGCGCACACCAACATATTGACAGTCGCAATGGCCCGAAAGCTTGCGGGTTCACTGGTTGTGGCAAATAGGTCGTACATGAAGGGCACAACTGCTGTGAAAACAAAGCAGTAGACAGAGGTGCAAGCTACGCTGCGTGTACCCAGCAGCACAAACGTTCCAACACCTCCAAGTATCAGTGTGGAGGTCCACGTCATGATACTATCGGCAGGAGGTCTCTGTGGCTGCTCGCATAGTGCGCACTGCAGTGGAAACGAAAATGCGACGGCAACTGTCAGACCAAGATAGTGGAAAAGCAAACGTTTCGGCACGTTGCCTAAAGTTGCGCGGCAATTGGTGATAACGATCTGACCAACAGTCCAAAGAAATGACACGCAGACAGCCGTTGTTGTGGAATTGGCTGCCTGCCCAAAGAAGAAATCAAGGACCAGCTGACGACCGCAACCCGAATCAAGCAACACCCATGGCTTCAACAGCATATCACGAATGAGCTGAATTTGCAGATTGCACCCCCACGTGAGGGCCAGCCCCGCACACGCCAGGCACATAAAGCTTGCGCATGCTGCGGGAGCCGTTGCCCGAAGCCAGCTAGCCCAGGCGTGCCGCGAGACACTCGCAGGACGCTCTCGAGTCCAACAGTCTTGAACACAAATGGCTATGGAAGACGTCTTGGGCTGTCCTGGAATCATCTTCGGCTGCCTTGAGGCCCTGTCGGGCCGTCCTGGCACCCTCTAGGAGCCCTGCTTGGTCTTTGTCTAGATCTAGGCATGCTCCTGGACTGTCTACGGCTATCGAAATTCCAAACCTGCAAACATGCTGATATCCGACAAAAACCAAACCGACATACTTGATGTTTGCCTCTTCGGGCCATTTGGGGGGGCCCTCTTGGAACGCTTTGGAAACACATTGGGCCGTCCCTGACCTGTGTTCGCAAGTACTCGGGTTTTCGTAGGCCGTTTTGGAGTTCAGTTGGGTCGTTTTGGGTTACCCGCGGCGCCCTGGGCTCATTTTGGGACCCCCCCTGTGGCAACCGAGGGTGCCTCCCGAAGGCCCGTCGGCACTGGGGTCCGTCAATTTCCAATGACACACACACACACACACTCGCGCCCGCCCGCCCGCCCGCCCGCCCGCCCGCCCGCCCGC